ATGTCAGCCACACCTTATATTTTGCATTCATTCAGAGGATGAAGGCTTAGCATGTTTCCAAACCTGTATTTGCTATGATAAGATGATTAGAAATGCAATACAGTGCATTCAATAAATCTTGATTTAATAAACTGTGTTCAGGTTTGCCATCTAAATTAGCTAACAACCAGTTCTGGAGTAGGAGGCAGAATGAACATGCCCCATGTGTTCTACCCATTGCTTAGACTACCCTTCCTCTGTATATATAAATACATATATAAAATGTATATTTTGGGTGGGAGTAGCCAGCGCGCATCCACTCCCTTCCCCTGAAAATGGCAGGTGCCCTTAGCAGGGCAGAGAAACTGCCCCTCTATCTTTATGCAGGGTGTTGATTGCCACCTATAGGCAAAAAGAGACATAGCCCATCCTTTGTGGGAAATGGATGAAGATTCTGTACTTCCTCCTTATAGGCCCATGATGGCGAACCTATGACACGCTTGCGAGAGGTGGCACGCAGAGTCCTTTCTGTGGGCATTTGCACCATCGCCAGCTGCTCTTCTAGTTTCCAGCATGCGTGTGTGTGCTGGCCAGCTGGTCTTTGTGGCCAAAATGTCCCCAAAATGTCCTGCAAAAAGGCCTGAAAAGACCCAGAAAACAGCCTGAAAACGCCCCGAAAATGTCCCAAAAACAGGCATGTGCATGGCGGCCAGCTGGTCTTCAGGCGTCCGGCAGTCACACATGCATGGACGCACATACCGATTTAGGCACTTGGTGCTCAAAAGGTTCTCCATTACGGTGATATGCTGTAATAGATATTTGATCTGTACTCTGGATTTGTTTCATGCAAGCTGCCCGGATAAGATCTTTGGTGTTCTTGACTAGGATCATATCCTCCGAGTATGAGTTACAATGAGCCCTACGCAGTCAAGTAAATGTTCAAAATTCCTTCCATATCAAGGTTGTATGTGTCAAAATTACAAATATGGAGTACAACACTCCTATGTTGACCTACTTCCACTAAGCCAGTGTTTTTCAACCTTTTTTGTGCAAAGGCACACTTTTTTCATGAAAAAAATCACGAGGCACACCACCATTAGAAGATGTTAAAAAATTTAACTCTGTGCCTATATTGACTATATATAAAGTAATTCTCTTGAATCCTCCGCGATTGTTTCTATGGGCGCACGCATGGGACGTCAGTGACGTCGCTGCGTGCGCTACCTCCCGGCGGTCCCTGCGTTTTTAAAGTAAATGCGGGGCCGCAGGGACTTAATA